TCCCACCTCAATAGCAGCAAAAGTGTTTTGCAATACAATATGAACACAATAAGTACATTGTACTTAATTTTTGATGTAAGTACATAGTAGTTAAGGCCACTTAATATAAAGTGGGGCCGCCCATCCTGAGAGGTGTGACTTGTCTCAGACTTTAAAGGGCTCACGCAAAGTTCCCCCCAGGTCTTCTGCTAAATCTTCTGATTGCTGCCCGTGTGGAGAGCCTGAGCCGGTGCGGACGTGCCCGGTGGGCTCCAATATATAGCCCTTCAGTCTGTGGTTCTGTTAGTTTCTGAGAAGATGAGGATGTGAGCTAGAACTATTCCTCAAGAACCCAACCTAAGCTTGTGCCAGGCTTCGGACTAGTCTTTCCACGTCAAGATCCTCTGACTCAAACTGGTTCTTTTTCATCAACCAACTTCAGCAAAGATCAACTTGAGCCTTCAGATTGCATCAAGACTCTCTTTCAGACAGACAAGACGTGCAAGTATCAAACATAATCTTATTAATTGATACATTAAGTATCAGTTGCACCTTTTACAAAGGTGTATTTGAACAAAGAAACTGATGTTTCCTTTAGGCTGTAGATCTGCTGAATATCAAATTTTACCATAAATCCATGCTTTATTTCTTTTCTCTTTACTGCTTAAGCTTTAACACCTTTTCCTATGCCAACTGTATGCGTGTGTGTATGTTAGACTAGTTTAAGTGTTTATGTAGTTAATAAAGTCTTACTTGTATCACACTTGAGGTTGTTCATGGTTTGCCATAACTGGAGTCCCTAATCATGCAGATTTTTGCTACATGCTCTGAGTAGTATTGTACAGTAAGAAAGTTATTTTCCTTAACCAGGAAATTAACGTCCTTCGTATTGACAGACAGTTGACATTTCTCATGCTCTCTCTCAGCTTCTGAATTCTGCTCTCCAACAGTCCCACAATGCTGTGTCTGATGCCCAGCTCGTTTTAAGAGATCAGTTCATCGAAGGCATAAGAGACACGACTCGTCAGAGAAAAGCCTCAGTCCACTTTATTTGATGTCCGCGAAGAGGCCGTGATGTGGATTGTGGAAGACAGACCCCGTGGTGCTAATGTGGCCAGGACTCTAAATATCATGAGTACATGTTCTGGGGAGATGTCAGAACATTCAAATTCAGTCAGTTCTGCACAAAGTGACATAACGGTGGCCTTGCAGGAGGTAGTAAAAATGATCACTCAGCAGGGTAAAGCTATCGGAGAACTCACTAATGCAGTTCGTGAACTCACTGTACAAAAGGCCCATTCCAGTGGTAGCCAGAGTGGAAAAGGCTAAGTCAAGCCCAAGTATACAGATGAAGGCCAACCCATCTGTTTAAGGTGTGAAGGTGGGACATGTAGCTAGACAGTGTCCTGTACCACGTAGCTCCAAAAGCCAGTCCACTGCCACCACAGGTTCTGCGGAGCAGGGAAACGGGGCCCCTCCATTGCTGTGAGCCGAGCAATGCGAGGAAAACCAGAAGGCTCAAGATGTAGTACATTAACCAATTAACGTTTCCTGGAGCGTGCAGTTGGCAAGTGCCCTGAAGTTGATATTCACATTGGGGGTGTTCCAGTTAGCCTCTATGAATACAGGCAGATCCCTGTCGGGCTATGCAATGCGCCCTCAACGTTCCAGCGGCTCATGCAAGCTAGCATGAGTGACTTCGTGTTCTAAATTGTGCTCATCTACTTAGATGACTTGTTGGTGTACTCATCCACCTTTCACAAATATCTGGTGCACCTTGAAACTGTGTTTAAAAGGTTGAGAGAAACTGGGCTGAAGATAAAAGTAGAGACATGTAATTTCCTGCAGCCAGAAGTGAGATTCCTTGGCCATCAAGTTTCAGGCCAAGGCGTGAGTGCAGACTCCCAGTGTCAGACGCCATTTGAACGCCTCAAAGAAAAACTTACCAGTGCACCAACACTCTGGTATGCTGATTTCACGCTTCCCTTTGTGATTGAGACTGATTCGAGCAATCTTGGATTGGGAGCAGTCTTGTACCAGCATCAAGGGTAAGAAGACTGTAATCGCATATGCCAGTAGGTGGTTGAGAGGGGCTGAGAAAAATGATCAAAATTACAGCAGCATGAAGCTGGAACTGTTAGCACTTGGGCGGTCAATGAAAAGTTCCTAAGTTATCTGCTGGGGTCCAAATTCAAAAACCATCATAATGGACAACAACCCCCTCTGCCACCTCACGACTGACAAAGTAGGAGCCACTGAACAGCGCTGGGCTGCTCAGCTCGCTGTTTTTGATTTTGAAGTCAAATACAGTCCTGGACGATGCAACACTGCTGCTGATTCCCTTTCCAGGAGACCAGGAAACCAGGATCCGATGAACCAGACTCTGGAAATGAAGATGCAGAGTATGATGGCTGTGTGGCGATCTGTAATTAATTACTCACCCTCATGTCGTTTCAAACCCGTAAGACCTTCGTTCATCTTCGGAACACAAATTAAATCCAGTATGGGATTGTCGGTTTGTGTCAGTTGGTTTGATTTGTTTGATCTTCCCCCTTTTCCTGTCGGTTGGAGCCCTGGTGCCTCTTTATCTGGTTTCGATGGACCCATCGAAGGACTGGCTCGCTGCGCCCTTGTCTGATTTTGATTCGGTAGGCAACAGGTTAGAGCTTGTCCCCAATCTCGTGGGGTCCTGTCCAGTGAGGTAGGAATTTCTTTGACAGGCGATGGGGAGCATTCTGCCTTGGTTGGGCGAAGCTGTAGTACCACACTTTGTCTCCGACATTGAGTTCCCGGTGAGAGGCCTTTTGGTCGTAGTAGGCTTGAGGAGCCTCATGGCAACCCTGTCTGGTCTCAAGGGCAGCCACTAGTCCTTGTTCTGACTCAGGGTCAGCGAATTCTTTAATGAGGGCTTCTCAGAGCAGGTGGTAAACAGTATTTGTGTGAGCAGGCTGACGGTCCAGGAAGCTGCGCACTTCAGGGCTGGATGTTGTTCGGAGCAAATAGAGTCTATCTTTGTTAGTGACATTGGGTCTTATTTCCAGATGAAAATCGATATCTTGCAAATAGGCCTGGACTTCCTGGCTACTTGGCACACTTGGGGTGAATTTGCCAATGTTCCTGGCGAGCTTGTCGAGGTCTTTGAGGCCATGTGATGATCTGTGGCTGGCTGGAGCAAGTTCTTTTAGCTTGGTTGTGAGGTAGGGTTCTTCAGAGGGAGCTGGTGAATGTTTTAGCACTACCCCCTCCCCCTTTTGATCACGTGTCAGTCCAGGAACAGGGGACCCAGTCCTGCTCGGTAGGGGTGAGACTGGTGCCCGTCGGGTCCTTGTTGGCTCGGGGCACAGCTCGTAGGCATGTTTGAGTTCTTCTTTGATGCTGTCGGACTCCTCTTTGATGTAGTCCAGCTGTCATGTTAGGCGGCTGATCTCATTTCTCGACTCATCCAGGTGAGTTTCAAGGGCTTTAATTCTGCTGTTCTTGTCTCCGAAGTCGGCCTTTGCCTTTTCAAGGAGCAGTTCTGCATACTGTAGCTTGTTGGAGAGATCAGCGTAGTCTGCCTTGACTTATTCCATTTCTTGGGTAGTAGCTGCTACGGTCTCTTTTTGCCTGGTGATCTCCTCCTCGGCGCCTTGTTCCACCTCTGTCTCTGAAGTCGGCCTTTGCCTTTTCCAGGAGCAGTTCTGCATACTGTAGCTTGTTGGAGAGATCAGCGTAGTCTGCCTTGACTTATTCCATTTCTTGGGTAGTAGCTGCTACGGTCTCTTTTAGCCTGGCGATCTCCTCCTCGGTGCCTTGTTCCACCTCATCGGGCCCTTCCTGTCGTTCCTGAGCCTCCAGTTCTAGCTGCTCGATGCATCGCTGTGCGCGTGTCAGCTCCTGCTGGATATGGGCGATGTGCTGGTCACTCAGCTTGAGGGTGGCGATGAGTGTGTGACTTAAGGAGCCAGTGATCTTGGCTAGTTCTTTGTGACTGTAGCTCTGACTTGGGTCTTGTCTCATAAGACTTTTTATGTTGTCATCCAGCTGGTCCTGTGTCTGATGCTTCAGTGTTTCAGCAGCCTTAGGTAGGAGGCTGTCTGTTGCAACACTTAGCCATGTCTCGAGGTCCTCCCAGTGGCCAACTGGGTCTGTTGTGCGAGACATGTTTTGACGCGGTGAGGGAGATCCAGAACCGAGACTGACACAGACCTTGAAGAGGAGAAAAAACAAAACAAAACAAACAAGGCAAACAAAGGTGTAAGTGTGCAATGTCAAGTGTGGGCTGATGTTGAGTGTGTAATGTGCAGGTGAGCGTGGTTCTCTGCGACTGTGATCCTCTGGTGGGCGTGCTTCTAATTTGTAGTCTCTGTGGGGGAAATTAGTAAGCACACACAGGTAGCACAGCTAGAGAACAGAAAAGAAGAATAACAAACAGAGCAAGGAACAGAATAATAATTGGCTGTTTCCACTTTTCCTATAAGAACATTTCTTTTTTTGTAAAGAAATATTAGAGCTAATGCTAAGATGAGAGAGAAAGACAAAACAAAATACCCTTTTCTGGTTGCAGAATGAGTACAATTAAATCTTATTTTCTTTTCTTTTTTTTGTTAAGTTTGATTTAGAAGAATGCTTCTAGACAGGGGTTTGGAAATGGGGATTTCTAAATACCAGGACTGTGATTGTTATTAAAATTTCCTCTGGGGTGAATGAAAAACAATAACAATGACAGTATCGGTTTCTCAGCTGGTAGGATTGATAACCATACAACAATTAGATCATTTCTAGATGTGTGTTTAAAATTTAGCGGACGCCTATCTCCTTGTTGACCTGCTTTAGCCTTGGCTGGGTAGGAACCCAATGTGAGAAGCGAAGGTAGGGTGAGATTTAGACAATTTTGAAACGAAGTGTTCAAGTTTCACAAATATTTGTTAAATGTTTCTAAAGTTCTCTGCTTTTATGATTCTCACAGGTACAATCCCAAAAACAGCATTAGAAGTCAAATCAGAAGAAGACAGCTGAGAGAGGGAGAAGAAGAAGGAGAGAGATGTTACTCCCAATGTTAGGAAAGATGCCAATGTTGACAGAGTGGTGGCGCTGTTGGGTCAATACACCTAAGGGCTTGGTTTTGCTGTGTTAGTAGGAGGAGACTAACTGAACTAAGTATTGAGGAAAACCCTAATTTTCTTTTCGGGTTTTACTAACTGGATGGGCCAATGCTCTTATAAACTAGGCTTGGTGGTGAGTTAAATTGGTCCAGTGGAGTCCAGTGGCAGGGCCCGCACCAGGTTACGTCAGAACAGGTGGCTCCACTCACTGTGACCCGCCGTGGAGATAACGTCACTTCACCGACCAAGCACTAGGGGGAGCGCTATCTACTCACAGGCTTAAGCAAGGGAAAACCTATGAAAATTTAGCTGAGTTAATTAAATAACTGAAGGAGAGAGAGAAGAGCCTAACAGGTAGAAACAAAAACTTAATTGCAAATTAATGTAAAATTTCAAATCCGTAATGACAGTTAATGATTCAAATTGAATGATGTCATCATGAAAATTGATAAGAGCAATTATAATTAAATGAATCAACTGTATAATTGAAGTGGGGAAGTCCAAACCCTTATTAACTATAAATGAAATTAAAATTTAAAATCAGTAATGATATTTAATGATTAAAAACCAATGTAGTCATTAAAATTATACGAGCAATACCAATTAAATTATTTATTGTATTATTATTATTAGTCAGTAATTATCATTGCGATATGAATGCAGAAACTGTAATTAATTATGAAATTAAATTTGAATTTCCAATCAGTGATGATAGAAAATTAGTAATATTTACTGATGTCATTAAAATTGATAAGAGCAGTTATAATTAATCAGAAAGTACCATTAAGCAATGAGGACGAGGACCGTGATTAATTGCTAATAAAAACCAACAGCGTTTAAACTGATAGAGTTAACAAGCCAAAGGAAAATAAGATATATAAGTGTAACAGAAAGAGAGATGAGGTGAAAGAACCCACTAGTGTTAGAGTTACAAATACAGAGTTCAGATACAAAAAAGCTTAGATCACTTCAACACTGCCAAACATTGCAAAACACACTGCATTTAAACACACTAGCCCATGTAATGCTACATGCTAACCGCTAGCCTTCAATGCTACTAGCTTTACATAGGCTTCCATGTAAATGCGTTAGCTTCAGTTAGCTTAGCTTATGTTAGGCTGTTGTTTACAAACCGCTCAATATTTGCACTGGCGGACTGCGCCTGCGCACTTGAAAGTTACCCCGGAAAAGGTTTCTTAGAACTTCTGGGTTACGGCTGTTACTATGGCAACGTACCCTGCAATAAGCTAGCATGTGTTACACACAGTCTATAGTTATACACACAGTTTAAGTACATCACATGAAATGACGGCGCATTTCAACACTTGAACAACCAAAAAGCACTATTTAGATTCTTATCTTATAGCGCTGAACAATCTCAACTCGTTAGAGTGAGGCAACTTTATCTACAGATTTACTGCAATTTTAATACAATAACGTTATTGGATCTAGGCGGATCTCAGCACTTTGTGTTAGTCTATTTGACAAACAAAAACACACGTTGATTTTATCCACACAATTTACTTGATCAAGATTCACATTTCTTCCAAAACACGCATTCGGACACTTTCTCTGAGCACCGCGTTTCAAGTTCACTAGTTTTTAGTGAATAAATGGCAAAAGAGCATTAATTAGCTAAGTTAATGTCTCAAACCGGGAGATAGCCTAGTTGTTCAACATTGGGACACGCAATGTGAATCAATCTAACTACAAACAAGGCCTAATAAGAGAAAGAACAAGGAACACGCTTGCTTCTCTCCTCGTGCGCTTTTAGAGCGACTTAGTCTTTGTCTCGACAGACAAAATTTAAATGTTTTACTGCAGTTCACTTCTATAAACAACAACTCAAGTTGCACATTCAAACACACTGGCATGCCATAATAAAGCATACAGTAACACAACAACTCTGTTTCTCTGTCTCTAATCAATCTCCGGATAAATAGAAAAGATCCAACACAATGTCTTGATGTTATGAATTATAAGTTCATCGTTGCCCGCTTTTGATTCTCCACCATTTATATAAGGAATTTTAGCTCAGGTTTTTCGGAGGGAATCGAATCTGAAGATTCAAAATCAACCTGATTAGAACTGATTCCAAATTTGATAGTTTACCCTTTATCAACTGTTCGTGCAGCGAGACGTTAACATCAGTATATCTTAACAATTTGGATATTTATATTATGCCCTGGCCAAGGTCATAATAACTGTTAGTGATGATTTATTAAGCTACGAGCTAGGTAACAAGATCTGGGCAAAGTTTTAACTTTAAAATACACAACCCAAGACAATGATTGTTATAATGAAACAAGAATTTATTTGCTACTCTAGATTACATGGTACTACGCTAATGAAAACATACCGTTCAAAGGATGAGGATTAACGGAGTTTGACTGAAGCCCCAAAAGTCTAGTAAGTTATTCGTTCTTAGATCGCACCAAGTTACTGCAATTAATACAATAACTGTTATCGAGATCTCGGCGGATCTCAGCACTTAGTCTATTTATACAGACAAAAACACATGTGGATTTAACCACAATTCTCCCATAAAATAACGTTTGGACATTCTCTCTGAGCGCCGCGTTTCAAGTTCACTAGTTTTAGTGAATCAATGGCAAGAGCGTTAGTTAGCTACTCAAAGCTAGTTATTCAACATTGGAACACGCAATGTGAATTAATCTAGCTACAAACAAGGCCTAATAAGAGAAAGAACAAGGAACATGCTTGCTTCTCTCCTCGTGCGCTTTTAGAGCGACTTAGTCTTTGTCTCGACAGACAAAATTTAAATGTTTTACTGCAGTTCACTTCTATAAACAACAACTCAAGTTGCACATTCAAACACACTGGCATGCCATAATAAAGCATACAGTAACACAACAACTCTGTTTCTCTGTCTCTAATCAATCTCCGGATAAATAGAAAAGATCCAACACAATGTCTTGATGTTATGAATTATAAGTTCATCGTTGCCCGCTTTTGATTCTCCACCATTTATATAAGGAATTTTAGCTCAGGTTTTTCGGAGGGAATCGAATCTGAAGATTCAAAATCAACCTGATTAGAACTGATTCCAAATTTGATAGTTTACCCTTTATCAACTGTTCGTGCAGCGAGACGTTAACATCAGTATATCTTAACAATTTGGATATTTATATTATGCCCTGGCCAAGGTCATAATAACTGTTAGTGATGATTTATTAAGCTACGAGCTAGGTAACAAGATCTGGGCAAAGTTTTAACTTTAAAATACACAACCCAAGACAATGATTGTTATAATGAAACAAGAATTTATTTGCTACTCTAGATTACATGGTACTACGCTAATGAAAACATACCGTTCAAAGGATGAGGATTAACGGAGTTTGACTGAAGCCCCAAAAGTCTAGTAAGTTATTCGTTCTTAGATCGCACCAAGAAAATCACAAAAGCAGAGATTTGGCTTATCTTTAGTTGCTTAAGATCGATTTAGCACCAGTTTTCCAGCCAGAAAGGAGACCTTGTTTTACTTGCGTTTGAGTTGAGCAGGGTTTTCCTTTTCTGCCTGAGGGAACCACGGCGCTTCTGATTGGTTGCTGATCTGTCGTTTGGATGACGTCTTTCGGGAAAAGCCCTCGTGGTGAATGGGCGTTGCGTTGTAATGGAGGAGCTTCGGAAGTCGGTTGCCTTGGCTACGGATGGTGAGGCGATTGAAGTTCTTCTGAGAGTTTCTTTGCATGGCTTTAGACTTTGGAGATGTCGGCAGTCGCGAAGCTTCAACGGAGTGTTTGGAGTTCTGGATGGCCCGATCGTGTGTTGGTGCTGTGAGGGTGCGCACACTGGAGCGCGATCAAACAAAGCGAAAGAGCACTGAATCAGTTCGTGACATTGGGTTTTAAGCGAGCCGATTTGGTCCATCGCAGAAGCGATTGTCCCACTCGGACGCTGTTGCTGGGCTTAGCCACGCCCCGCAAGGTTCCTCTTCATGCATAAATTAACATGATGCTTCAATTTATCACGTGGGGAACATCCTTGCCAGATTTTGTTAATACTTCTATAAAGTTTCTTAATGCGAGTATTGTACATAATACCCACTTTTCATTCATACCAAAGTCTTGCACATAAAATAAGCTTTCATTCAACATCAGATATCAGACATCTTGCATACACATTAATAACCTTATCTACTAAAAAGGGTTATAAAACATTGATTAAACTCCATTGATTACATAAAACACATTGAGCATAAAAAGGCACAAAGCACATTATTCGTGGATAAAGTTGCCCTACTGGCAATACTTTAAATGATTGTCTTTTGAAATTGTCTGTGTAAGTTTCTGTGTTTCTTTGTCTGTAAATAAAGAAAAGAGCGCAAGTTATCATGTAGAAAGGAAAGGAGGAATGTCCTGAGGTCAAGGGCGGTGGAGGTCTTCTGAGCTTCCCACTCAGACGTGTCATTGTAAATCTGTCCGTTTGTGTTTATCAGATTATTAATTTATGCTGAAGCTGGTCAAAGTTACACTGCACATCTGGTCCTTGCATGGTCTCAGACAGAGGTTGATTGAGTCACGTTATCACTGTTCTTTAGATCTGTTGTTTTTGCAGGCCTGGAGCTTGTCCCGTGAATTGGCCTTTTCCTGTGCCTATAGTTCCATGCATAGCGATCACGAGGTATCTCTCAACTATATGTTGTGAAAGAACTCTTTAGTCCTTGATACAAAATATCTCTGTTGTCTCCTGACTGGATTTGTTTTTCATCACTCTTTCGATTCTTCTGAGGAGATAACGACAAGACGTTGACAGGAAATCGACCCAGACCATTGGTGTCATGTGATGGTGTGATTAGTTTAGACCTCATGATTGTTTGGAGGGGGGAGAATTTTAGATTCTTCTGAAATGTGTCTGTTCAATAGCTCACGAGGTGGCCTGCTCGAACGAAGGTCCTACACATAGAACAACTTGATGATGTACAGAAACTATGGACTCTCTCTTTTCTTGCACTTTAGATAGACTTAATCGGTGTCGCGTCATAGCTGTGTGGGCGGAGTCAGCGTGGGGGAAAACAGTCCTTTCCCCCTCATTTGAAAAGCATGGTGTTGACTCAGAATGGCCTACATAAAAGGTGTAGGGATGTGCATCTCATGACTCAGGCCGATACGATACGCATCTCGACGATACATCGCGATATAAATGACAACTTGTAGCCGATGCACACTTTTTAAACCGATGCATCGTATCGTTAACTTTTTATGCCGATACACCGAGCGAATCGGGGAATCTTCCCATCCCTATGTAGGTGTGACACTGTTTTATTTTTAGATATTCATATTTCACATAATGATCATCTAAATATTTAATTATTTTCAGTTTGGCAGTGGAAGGGGGATGATGGTGAGTGGGAGCCATATCCTCCAAAGGTCTGTGTCCAGCTGGATACAGCAAAGCAGGCCGGTGAAAAGTTGGTGTCACTGGTGCTCGGAACTGGTTATGAAGTGGATCTTGTGAAAATGCTTTCAGAAAGTGAAGTCAGGTATGTCTGTGTATACCCATGTCTGATGTTGCATCAGTATCTGTCACAGAAATTTAATAGCTGCTTATTTATTATATTGCAGAAGATCCAAACGAAGGAAAAGCTTTGAATGGCAAAAATGGAGCTGCAGGTGTTGTTCAGATTAAAGAAGAGAAAGAGGAGGAAGAGGAGCAACCGGTTTCCAAGAAGAGACGCAATGAAGGGAGGAATCAGAGAGCAGAAAAAGCCAAGCCCATTGTTAAAAAGGAAAGTGAAGGTGAAGCTTCCTTGGTAGATGAACTTTCTTGGACTTTTCTTTTTGTCTGATGTTACCAATTCCTCTCATAGACTTGATCGGTGTCGCGTCATAGCTGTGTGGGCGGAGTCGGTGTGGGGGAAAACAGTCCTTTCCCCCTCATTGGAAAAGCATGGTGTTGACTCAGAATGGCCCACATAAAATTATTTCTGCCGCTTGACAGAGCAACATATGCATAAAAACTGAGCCGTATTAGGTCAGACTGTCCGTACGGTATCTGTGACTGGACAAACGACCCAACAGAATGGCCAGAGGTGTCGTTTCCCCACATTTTTTGTTACCTGATTGAGCAAGAGACAGCTTAGGCTACTACAAGCCTATACGAGACGGCTTGTGAAAGTAAACATTTGTCGTTTTGATTTGCTTAATTTTAATAAAGTGATAAAGACTTGAGTAAAAGCCTGCCGTACTTTCTTATTGATATATTAAAAAGTTTTTTAAGATTGACAAAATTTACTAAAAATATTAAGGTCCACTGAAGTGCCTTGAAATGCGCAGCGTTATTCTATGTGGTGTGTGCTGCGGCTGCCTAATAATTTTCACAAATACATGCCGTAAAATAAAAAGATATAAAATAACATGAAAATATCCCTTACGAAAATTAACTGTGGTTACAACCAAAAAACATGGTTACTATAGTTAAACCATGGTAAAAACAACATGTTTTGCTACACTAACCATAGTTTAACCATGGTATTTGTAGTAAAACTGTGGTTATAGGCTACAATTGGTAATAAAAACGGCAAAAAAAAAATATGGTTAGCCTACTATACTTTTACTATAGTAATACCATTGCTAATTTTCGTAAGTAATAATATGACGTATAATAATATGAAATAAATGTTTTAATAGATTATGACATCACAAAATATCAGGGAGTGAGATTTATTTGATTGCGATGCGAAGGAGGGTTACTGTAAGTAAGCCCCATCAGAACTGGGTTGCGGTGCAGGGGGACGGGACTAACGACAGATCATTGCAGGGTATCAGTTATATACATCGTCAGATCAGGTTTTTTTAACTTATTAGAGGTACAAAACGCCACACAGCAACTTTTCGGCATTGTACCAAGCAAAAATCAATCGAAATCATCACAAAAAGTAAAGATCAAGCGCCTAACAAGGTCTCCGCGCGTTAATTCGAATGGTTTGTTTTCCCCCTCGGCATAAACGGTTATGACGTTTTTGTAGGCGTTCCCAGCAATGCCGAACAAGTCTATTTTTCAACCCCTCTCCTTCAATCACCTGTCAAATTGACCACTTTCCACATTCCGATTGGACAAAATTTGTCCTGTCCTACGTTTTTTAAATTTTTTATAACTTTCACTCACAAATGCATCACGTCGTAGGTTAAGTACATACGTTTCAGATTGACTGTTGTTGTTTTTTCCTCGTTTTGAAGAAGAGGTTGTGAAGACAGTGGTTATGAAAGGTAAAGCCCCAGTTGATCCGGAATGCAAGGCTAAAATTGGAAAGGTAATTACCTTAAATGTGTTATAGGGTCATTTGAAGTGAAATTACTGTACAGTATTTGACTGTTGTGTAATCACTTTTAAAACTTCCCTTTTCTTCTAAATACAGACTTTGTTTACTTCAATGCATTCTTCTCATTAGATTTCTTTTCTTTGGTTATTCACAGGCCCACGTCTACAGTGAGGGGGCTGATGTATATGATGTCCTGCTGAATCAGGTGAATATTGAAGATGTTACAATACTGTTCAAAAGTTTGGGGTCGATGAAGGAAGTCTCTTATGCTTACCAAGGATGCATTTATTTGATCAAAAATAAGAACAGTAATATTGTAAAATTATTATAAAATTATTATAGTTAAAAATGACTGTTATCTGTGTTGTTATATTCAAAAATTTAAATTTATTCTTGTGATGGCAAAAGTAATTTTCAGCAGCCATTACTCCAGTCTTCAGTGTCACATGGTCCTTCGGAAATCATTATAATATGCTGATTTGCTGCTCAAGAAACATTTCTTATTAGTAGCAATGTTGCAAACAGTTGCTTAGTATTTTTGTGGAAACTGTGCTTCCTTTTTAGGATTCTTTAAAGAATAGAAAGTTCAAAAGAACAGCATTTATATGAAATAGAAATCTTTTGTAAAATTGTAAATGGCTTAACTGTAAATTCTGATCAGTGTAATGCATCCTTGCTGAATAAAAGTCTTTTTTTCTGTGAATAAAAATATCTTTCTTTCAAAAAATAACTTAACCATAAACTTTTGAATGGTTGTGTTTATTAATACATAACGTGCAGGATATGACGTTGTTTGATATCTTTTCTTTGGTTTTTAACTGTTACAGACTAATCTTCAGTTCAACAACAATAAATATTACCTGATTCAGCTGCTTCAGGACGACAATGGAAAAACTTACAGCGTTTGGATGAGGTGGGGACGAGGTGTGTACCGAAACACGTCAGATGCTCTTCACCAGGCTGGCCTTTATTATCATGACACATTATCATCCATGTTCTTGTGTTTTTCTCTTCAGTGGGTAAAGTAGGACAAAACAGCTTGGTTAACTGTGGGGGGAATCTTGCTCAGGCCAAAGATGCGTTCAAAAAGAAGTACATTTTTTAAATTAATCCATGTTATTTACTCATATAAGATATAAGAAAGATTTTGCTTATAATCTGCTTATATGCAGATTCTTTGACAAGACCAAAAATGAGTGGGAGCATCGAGCAAATTTTGAGAACGTTGCAGGGAAATATGACATGGTATTTGTAGACTACAGCACTGAAGACAAGGTAAAAAGAGATTTTTGCTCCCAATACCACATGATCCATTGCTCTGCATTGCATTTATGTTTCATCCCTAATTGTAGTCAAATATAGACCTAATTTTTCCTCTCACCAGGAGAAGGACAAGGCTGTGGCATCCTCTCCTCCTCAAATAAAGCCCTGCCAACTGAACAGCAAGGTCTCTCCTAGAGCTTATATGTGACCTCAAAGCCATGGAAGAGTGTGTGCTAGAAATGAAGTTTGACACCAAAAAAGCCCCACTCGGTGAGTGTGTGTGCATTTGTGTACCAAAC